GGATGTACTACTGAGACGCAAGGGAGAATGAGTTTTTAATCAGCAATGAATGTGCAAAAAATAGTAACATAAAACCTGCAGAATTTTCCGGACAACCTAATATGAACGCACTCTTAAGCCACGGCGTTGGTGTCGCAGGCAGTGCGAGTGGGAGGAATTAGGCTACGCCAGTTTTCGCACTTTTTCTCCCGCCCTGTTTTCAACCAGAAGTAGTGAAGCAGCGAAAGTGCAAAATGCCTCTTCCCCCCCCCCCCTCCCCCCGCGTCTCCGAACCGCGCCATCGTTTCCGCCGAGGATGCAGGGACGTGTCAGGGGGTTGCGTTTAGCGTTTTATCCGCACTCGATGAAATTTTGTGGCTTGCCCACTTCAACAGTTGCTGAATAATGGCCTGGAGCCGTGCCCCAGCCTCCTCGCCTATATGCCCCACCGTCTGCAGCGAAAACCTCTGCGTTTACTCTACTCCCACATTTACCCTATTGCTTCCCTACCACCATTACGGTGCAAGAACTAAGCACAGGACCGTATCCCAATCCAGTCGAGCTTCCATCTGTCTTATGCCGGATGATACCAGCTGGGTCCGCACGTGTAATGGCAGGACTCCTGCATCGCCCCACCCCAAATCATTGTAACTTAATGGCAAGATAACCACTTTGGAGGCACCGCTGATGGAATTTCAAAGGCGCGGCGCATCTCTTCCAGAGGCCAAGGACTGGTGGGTTTTTTCTTTCTCATTTTATCGCTTGTCTAGTCTGTACCGCTTCGGAACGTACCTGAATCCATAGATTTTCACGATGTCGATGTGCAGTTCAATGGTGAGAATAAGTGGTTTGTTATCGTTCTTAGAGCGCTGGAAGGTGCATTCAATGTCCTCCCATGGAACCATATCAGCCAATGTCTTTGACGCAAACGTGAATTCATATTCACGATACTGGAATCCATTTAAATAGCATAAAACTTCAAACAAATCTTCCTCTGTTGTTCATACTGTGGACCGCACATCTGGGTAAGGGGACAACACTGATTATGAGTCTGTAAAATTGATGGGTGCTAAGGCAGCGTTCAGACTTCGCGTCGACGCCCTGTAACGCGCGTCGACGCGCTATTACAGCAATGGCGTCAAAATGGTGTAGAAAACAACGCAGTCGCATACAATTATCGATCGGCTCCTTTCGAGAGAGTATAGAATAACAGTTTGGTCTCTCGGCAGGGTCAAGCATCACGTCGCGAAGAATCGGGGGGTTGGTGAGACTCCCCCCCCCTCAGTGACTGCGGAATGTCAAGCATCACGTCGCGGAAAATCGGGGGGTTGGTGAGACTCCCCCCCCCCCTCAGTGACTGCGGAATATCTGCTGTAAACTTCAGAATGTAGCTGTATATATTGTGTGTTCAAACAACCGCTTCAATCTGGCACAAAGGTAATGAAGTTCGAAAGGGGTTGTTTTCTTGAAGTTTCGTAATGCAGGAAGTGAAAATCCGAAAAACTTC